TATTCGGACTATTGTCCTTATCTTTGTCACCATATTTATCCGATCCTTCAGTAACTGTCTATATTTCTGAGATGAGGTATTATGTATACTATTTACATTATTCGGACTATTGTCCTTATCTTTGTCACCATATTTATTACAACGTTTCGGCCTTTCAGTATCTGTCTATATTTCCGAGATGAGGTATTATGTACACTATTTACATTATTCGGACTATTGTCCTTATCTTTGTCACCATATTTATTACAACGTTTCGGCCTTTCAGTATCTGTCTATATTTCTGAGATGAGGTATTATGTACACTATTTACATTACTCAGACTATTGTCCTCATCTTTGTCGCCATATTTATCCGATCCTTCAGTATCTGTCTATATTTCTGAGATGAGGTATTATGTACACTATTTACATTATTCGGACTATTGTCCTCATCTTTGTTGCCATCTTTATTCGATCATTCAGTATCTGTCTATATTTCCGAGATGAGGTATTATGTACACTATTTACATTATTCGGACTATTGTCCTCATCTTTGTTGCCATATTTATCCGATCATTCAGTATCTGTCTATATTTCTGAGATGAGGTATTATGTACATTATTTACATTACTCAGACTATTGTCCTCATCTTTGTCGCCATATTTATCCGATCCTCAGTATCTGTCTATATTTCTGAGATGAGGTATTATGTACACTATTTACATTATTCGGACTATTGTCCTCATATTTGTCGCCATGTTTATTACAACGTTTCGACCGTTGTATAATCCGGCCTTCTTCAGGTGGTTAGAATGTCGAACTTAACCATTTATTTCGCTCACTGGGGTAGACTGTTCTAGTTCCACTGCACTGGTAAAAAAATGGTTGCTGAAGACATTAGGTTTATAATACCCAGAAATTCATACACAACTGATAACTGACATCCATTAAAACATGGCACGTGGAACTAGAAGAATCTACCCCAGTGAGCGAAATAAAGGGTTCAGTTCGACATTCCAACCACCTGAAGAAGGCCGGAGCGTACAACGGGCGAAACGTTGTAATAAATATGGCGACAAATTACGGTTTCTCTCATAACGGAATCTGGATTCAGATGCTTTTCCTACAAATATTTTCATGCTAGTTTGTCTGATGAAATGTTCTCTTTGGTGTCCAGACTTTACGAATCTAAACGCTGGACCAGATTGCAGAAATGAATAGATGTAGCCGTAAGTTCTATGCTAGCAGTTTCTTCTCTCACACTTCTCGCTTGTGGGACTCTCTTCCAGCTTCTTGCTTTCCAATCAAATTTGATCTTACAAAATTTGAATGTAATGACAACCGTTATCTTCTATCTTCGTAATTGCTCTCTTTCCTTAACAATGTTTTCTTTCTCTAATTCTTTCACAATCAATAATCCCTAGTGTCTTAGTGGCTTTTATTGCCGTGCTTGTGGTGAAATGATTAATATATATATATATATATATATATATATATATATATATATAAAAATCATGCGTGATACACGCTTAGGCGATCGCGTAACTTCCGATACATGACTGGCGAGGCAGATTTTTTTCCCGCAGTAGGTTGACATTTCTTTCTGCGGTAGACCAGTTGCCATCGAAGTCTATAGAACCCCGTCTGTTCTGATATTCCCATATATACATACATACGTCGGACGTTTCGGTCTAATAGACCATCTTCAGGACATATTCATAAAACATAATTAACATAGACCATATACAATTCAACATGAAAAAGACGATGGACATAAAAGCAATACCAATCTAAACAGATAACTATTCGTTTGAGGATGAAATGGAACTATTAATTACAAAATTAAATTCGGGGCTTTTAGCTTCCATTTTTTGAAACATGGTTAGAAATAGTGTAGCGAAAAAAACATATTTTAAATCAATTAATTTATAATATATATATATATAATTTAATATATATATATATATATATATATATATATATATATATATATATATATATATATATATACAATGAATCATTCAGTAGATTAGTAAAGTTAATGATATAAATCCTTTTCGTTAAATATATTTTTAAAGGTGCATTAACCTACAAATCACTCAATCATTGTTTTTAAAAATTATAAGCTGTATAAGGTCTTTCTTTAATACGCAAGTACTTTCAACCGTACATTCGGTCATCTTCAGGCATGGAAATATTTTTCATTTTTAAAAACAAGGATCATAACATTCATCGAGTGGTTTGTAGGTTACTGCACCTTTAAAATTTTGTTAGCAAAGGGATTTCGCCATTTTATATCGTTAACTTTACTAATCTCTTTTCTGTATGAATGATTCATTGTAATTTAAATTGAACTGCACCACATATTTGATATATATATCTCTACTGTCGGCGCAGTTAGTCCGACTAGTCTTGTCTCCTCGACATGGATGATGGTTAACGAGCTAATCAATGCAATTAAACGTGGACGTTTAGAATCAATCTCTGGTGCCTTGAAGCATACCAAAAGCGGAAGCGGCGGA